ATCTGTGTTTGTACACGCACGCACACACACACGCATGTGTTAATAATAACAAAACTGGTGTGTGTGTGTGTATTTATGTAATGTACGATCAGCACAACACAAGACTTTTGCCGGCAAAGAAGGAGGAAAGGGGAAAGTCGTGGGAACGATGGAATTAACGGCAAACCTGAGATCCAGTGACCGTTGACAGGCGGCCGTGGCATTCTAAGTCGGTACATATAATTTTCGTACGATTGTTTTAAACGCGTGTAGGTGTTTGGTAAGAAGAGAAGGCCTTTTCTACCGACGTGGGAATTGATCGGCTTTTTATTTTTTTGAAACCATTGCGGAAGTATACCGCGGCTATAGGTTGATGTATAGTGAATAACAGGGTTATGTTGTGGGCAGGTGCGCCCGGGGCGGCATCCCAGTCCTCGGCATATTGATTGGAAGTCTCGCGAATGCGCACGCCGACCGCCGCTGTTGTTCGGTCATTCACTAAACGCCGGCCGGGCAGCCGTCGCCTCTCACAACGTTTGGACTACCGCGCGCGGCGGCGGTGGTAGTGTGGCGATGATGATGACGGTGCCCACCAGCTGTCCCTAAAACAGACGGATATTATACGCATATTGCACCGGCCCAATGATTCACTCGATAACTCGGTCGATCATAGTTTAAACTCCCGTGTAAATAATTCAACCGTTAATAATGTCGTATGTAATTATAAAATCGGTTGGGGTGTCACACTTTTTCTGCAACAAGTTGTCGCGTTTCGCATAGTCAACAGAAATTTTGACTGCGTAGTAATCTTTTGAATTGACCGCACGGCGGTTCATATAGGCAATTTCGATACGTTTGTGTAAATGATGCAAACGATAAATACTGTTACGACGTTGGCCGCTCAAAATACAAACTACTATCGATTGTTTTTACAACAATTATTCATTTATTTTTTTAAATATTATTCAAATCAATTAAAATTAAGGGTCGTTTAAATTTATGATAAATTTTATCGTGCAATAAAATATGAGCGTTTTCACTATCGATAATCGATAATGTAATTATCAAATAAGATCCATCAAAACATCACTCTATGTTAGCCTGGATCATTTTATAAAAAAATCTAGTGTATATTATACTTGGGAGAAGTCGAACGGTGTGCCTGACGCGCATTATCATTAGTTCGATACTCGGTCACGGGTGGCTCCATTTGCTGTACAAGAGATTAGCACAGTAATTGAAGTCAATGTCACTCTCACCGATGACAGATTAATTTTACCAGGCCCGGGGTAAAAAATGATTTTAAAAATTCTCTACGGAAGATTACTCTTAATGAGATATTTAACATAAAAATATAATTAAACCCGACAAAAGTAAAATATAACTACCGTATTTCCCATTTGAATGTTATTAAAAAAAAAACTATTAAATCATTCTATTATAATAAGAGAATAATTAAAACTTTATGTTATTACATTTAAAGATCAGAGACTAACTTTCCTATAAGTAATATGATTCTAATTTTTTTATTTGGTACGATTAAACTGCATGTAATAGAAGTATAAATATCATCATAATTTTTTTATTTTTGCACTAATATGAAAAATACAAACAAATTAAAATTTTAGATGTACACGTTTTTACTTAAAAGATAAAATCTACAACTTTGTAGAATTAAAAAAAAATTATTTATGTTTTCTAGTTGCTTATTATAAAAAAAATTAATGAGAGTTTAATGTTTTGATTATTGATATTTGATTTTGAATGTTGACAACATTTGCAAACAATTTTATCTTGTATTAATTAACACGGCCGTTTAAAATTATTGCGCATGTTTTACGAAATTATGAACAATAATAATAATAATTATTATTGTTTTTGTGGAATTATTTTTCATATGCATAAACAGATTTTAAGTTGTTTAATATATATTCAATGTAAACAAATTTATGAAAAGAGAAAATCATTTTCCAGTAAGTTTCAAAAATATTTGTGACACATGCCAAACATTTTGTCTGAAATAACTAAAAATAATTAATATTATATTGAGTACTTCTTAAATAAAAAATACCAAGAAGTATTAATATTCATTTAGGCTTTATTGTTCTAGGTTAGAAGTAAAGAAAAAGCTTGTCAGGATTGAGTCTTATAAAAATTCTTATAAATGCTATAAAAGCTAATTCGCTTATTTTAAAACATTATCTGAAGTTGTTTTAAATGTAATTGCAGCAATGATTTCACGACTTCAGTTGGACAAGAGTTGTTACATTATATAAAATATTCCATATTCTATATAAAATTCAATTTTCTCCGTGGAAATTGCTAATTGGTTTTAAACCAAGTGTAATATTTAAAAAAAGGAAAATTTTCCTACTTATATTAACTTTTTAGATACGTCAATCATTAATTCAGGTTATAAAATCATTATACTCTAAGTGTATTCAATATGAAATCGATGTTTTTTATCTTGTGCGTATATCGTAATACCATAAATATTTAAAAATATCATTATGGTTCAACTAATTTCTATAGAACTGCGTATTTTAATATACATAAAACAATATATAACTGCCCTTTCTAAAAAAGAATATCTGGTACTAGATAAGTTCACTATACTGATAAATATATAAACTAATCAGGTAAAATTCTACAAGTTGAATAATAATTTAATGATAATTTATTCTTATAATATCGATTTGTATTTGATTGGAAATAAAACCCCTTCTTATCCATGTAATAACTGCAAGTCTTTATAAAATGTACTAAAACGTAAATTTTAACGAATTCATGACGGTATTCATTGTACTTTTTTTGTTTAATGTTTTAATTAAGCTATTCAGTTAATAGACCAATTATAATATGATATATATATATATATATATATATGTCATATTATATACACCTACTCGAAGAATAATTTCATCACTTTGAAATAAATTACAATGAAAAATTATCTTTTTAGTTAATATAAATTAGACTTAAACAATAGGTAACATTGTATAGGTTGAATAATTCTGCTACTAAGTTTATCAAGGTGTGTGATGTGCAAGGGTTTTTCAGAAATAGATTGATTTTTCGTGTATGCATGACACTGACTTGCTTGTCAAGAATAGTACCGTCGCTGGAGAATTTATCTTCTGTTAAAGCATCTAACCCTTGCTGACAGTATGACATTGAGCCGATTATAAATCGTCTGTGTTTGTAAATGATTCAAATTAGAGAAATTGTTTAAATCGGCATAAGAATTTGTTACAAATCGAGATTTCAAACGTAATTAATTAATGACGATTATTTCATTCGCTTCACATATTAATGTGATACGAATAAAATCATTTCAATATTCCGTCTGTATTTGACTAAAAATAATACATAAGTTATGTATCGTTATAAGTCTAAATCATTCATCAAACAGTAAGAAACATGGAAAAATTTGATTGATTCGTTTTGTGTAACACTCTAAGCTGATTTAAAAAAGCTCAGTCATATTAATTTATTAATATAAGGTGTAGTTTATAATGTAAATAAGAGTATTTTTTTAATAGAATGAACGATTTCTTCTTTGTACACGTTTCTTTTATAAAACGTTAAAATAATATTTTTATATTTTATAATAGTTTATTCTGTATATTTTATATAAAAGCTTACCGTTATTTTAGATTAAAAACAATTTATTTCTCTGTTCGAGTATAGCAAAATTTTACATTTTACTTTAGTCGCGTCAAATATTATCATATTTCACAAATCAGCCAAAAAATAATAAATACTAATTTAGAATTTCAATATACCTACTTTAAAAAATTAAATAACCTTTTAAAATTCAGACAGTAATCATTTTATGCACTATAAAAAATATTAGAAAATTTTTATACAATAGTATAATATTTTTAATATACATGTTAATTGTACACAGAAGTCGATGATTTTAATTTAGAATTTGGTTGATTGTTCTATTACAAATCATAGAATTTTTACTCTAATCATGGTTTTTGTCATAAATTATTTACATTTTTTCAATAATTAATTCCATTAAATGTTTTAAACCACATCTCAATAACATTTTATTTTAGTTTATTTATATTATAAAAATAACGACAAAGTTATTTAACGTAAATAGTCCGTCTTATATGAGTTCAGATTTAAAAGTCATACATCAATAAAATGCAGTTGATATCCGTGACTATTTTGAAGTTTTCATTAATTCTTTTTAGTTAATTTTAACTAATACAAAGATTCTGGTGTGTTATTTAATTTTTTTACTTTAAAATATTAATTATTTTAGTAGTTTCGTTTTTTATATTTCGTAGTTAAATAATTATTCAATTAGTTTCATACTTTTATAATTTTTTCATTTAATCATTTTTACTTCATCATTGACAACACAATATGTTTTATAAGAGTATAGTTTCGAAATATTTTATGATACATCAAAGTGCAAGGGATGTATAATTTACTTACATAATGATGAATTAAAAATCATTTTTGATTTCAATAAATTTTAAGTTGAAGATATTAGAATATAAGTCTTTATTAAAATTCAAGTGCGTCATATTTATTTTCATTTTTAATATTCGTCTTATTTTCAGATTTGAATACAAATGGTATATTTTGTATGGATTTAATAATACAATCAGCTAAATTGTATGATTAACCTATTTAAAATGTACGAATATTAAAAATATTATATTTATTTAATATCTATTAATTTTCATTGAAATATAACTTTTCATATAGTATGGGGAGGTAATTCAACCTAATATGTGACCTACTGAGTCTAGGACTACTAAAACATTGAAAAATTGGAAGTATCGATAGTTTAAATATAATTGAAATTCAAAATGTGAACGACCTAATGCAATCTGTCTATGTAATCTATAAATCGAAAACGATATAAATGTTAATGTTTTATACATTTCTTGAGGTATATTGATTTCCATATCTATGACTTAAAATAACTGTTTTCAAAATAATACATTTTTTTATAACAACTCAATGATTGATAAAAAATCTTAATTATTTTTCAGATGAGTGTGCTTGTGCCGATTGAGAGGGGTGATCCGGTAGGGTCGCAAGGTGGATCTCCACCGTGCACGGCCAGGCACAGGTTCACTCCGCCTGGCAATCCCAGCACGCCTACTACGCCACTGCCTGTTCCACCAGACGTTGCTGAACCGAATGCGGTCATAGAACCGCAAGTGCCGGTCACGCACAAACACCCATGCATATCTTGCTGGTGTTGTTGTTGCGGATGCTCTTGGTAAGCAAGCAAACAATATAAAATACTCTAAGTTTATGACAACGAAGGGCGCTCTGAATAGTTTTACCGTAATAGCTATCATGTCATGTCCCATGAATTTATTTTTAGGAGCGATTAATTATAATTTAATTCTCACCTGGATCAAAATTAAACGGAATAGTTCGTTGAACTTTTGTCCATTTACTCATAAAACAGTGACATAGCCAGGATTACTTAAGTCAAAATAATCTACAACAATCCATATTTTCGATCATTAATTTTTCTCGTCAATAGATTGCTGTCAATGGGGAGGAGGTATTAGGGTGTGGTTTATGTTCATGCAATAAACAAAATATAACATAATATATGTTGTTCCAGTGGCTCCACTGGCTACGCCACTGAAATTATATAAAAACAGAATATTAATTAGGATGGAGTGGTAAATATTCATAAAAATTTTTGTGACACAAATAAAACATTTAAAATAAATTTAAGTAATTTTTTTCATTCTTGTTTAAAATGTTATCTTGTGTACATAAAGGAATATTTTAACTTCTTTATTTTGTCAATCATAATTTTTAACATTTAAATATAATTATGAATAGAGGCTTTTTATGTGAATCTTGGTAGTAAATGCGATATCTTAAACGTTTTTGTGGATGGTGAACTCGGCACCACTTTTTATACATGCTTAGTAAATTTGATAAACATGTATTTAATCAATAAAAGATATATACAGTCAATGAAACGCGAAAATTGAAATATTTAAATTGCTTTATTTATACATAGCTCATTATATTGTTTAAAATAAATAAGTTTTGTAAGCATGACAGCGCTTCAACATTTTGTTTTGCTTTGCAATATTTCGCTTTGTGAAGCAAAATAACTCATTTTTAAAGCCTCTTTGTCAAAAACGTCTGCATTAAAATAAATATAACATAACCATTTTTCTATAATCACTTATTTCAAGTAATAATACAAATAAAATAATTACTTGCTTTTTTATTTTGTTATGGTAATCTTGTGTACAGTATATAGTTGTTACATATAGCAGTATTTCTAGTGTAGGCAATACTGGTTTATTTCATTAATAATTAATACATTTGAGTGCTTTAATGTTAATTTATTCAATCTATAAATAGAAAATAGTTTTCACAAAAATAGTTTTACCCGTTGAAATTTATTTTTAAATATGCTTAAATTGTTTTTTATCGTAAATTTTTTCTTAAATTTGATATGTTAATTTAACATTAAGTATTAACTGTATGAATTATTAACACATATATGGTCGGCGGTAGCTCTGGATGGTGAGGGGAGAATCATTTCATTTAATTATAAATTAATAACACTAAATCTCTTCCACGATATTATAAAAAATAATTTTCCCTTGAATTCATATATTTAATAGAAACACTAACTCATCTAATATTACTTTATATAGTATTAATAATAAGTTACTAATTTTAATTGACTTATTTGTGTACAATCAGTGTTATTTTGCATGCGTACAGGAGTAGGATATGCAAACTATGGTAAGTTTTACATAAAATAAATCTAGTTTAAGTGTATAAAAATAAACTATTTGGTATTAATCCTAAGTGAGTCATTTAGAGTGTTTAATATTTCAGATATTCTAATTTTGACGTTACATGATATTGTGTAACAATACTACTCTACTACTAGTTAATAGTAATACTAATGACTCACTAAGAATTATTATATTCATATTTATCAATATTTTGATTTTATGAACTATTTACTTATTAACTAACTATTGGTCTACGTATCGATTTATTTTTTCATATATTAATCAAAGCAGATAATTATGATAACCTGAAATAATAATTGAAAATACAATTTCGATTTCTAACACTACTTATATATAATTTAACATTAGTTTTTTTGAATTACAAGCTTTTTAATATATTTTTTTACTAAATAAAATTTTTTTCTTAAATATACCATTGGATTCAATTACATATTGTAGTTTTAAAAAATCGTGTCTAACATCATTTATATCTTTTCTTGTGCATTCTACAGGGATCGTTTTTGGTGAGTATTGTTTTAGATAATCAAAATATGACAATAAAAAATTTCAAATAAACATTAGACATTATTAGAATCAATTAGTTAATGTACCTTCTTTATATATGCTACTGCCGACAGTTATACTTTGATTAACTCAGAATTTAACTTATGAATAGTGAATGTATTTTCTTTTATTCTTATATCATCTTAATTGTTTGTATTATTTTTTGGTTGGTTAATGTCAATTAGTTTATTAATATTTGACTGGTGTACCCTGGGGAATTTTCAATTACAGTAATTTCCTATTTGCCTTCTATACTAGACTTTATAATCGTTAGTATAAGATTAAATAACAAATTATAAACATATAATTATATACAACTAATAATTTAATAAAATACAGCTAAGTAGAAAACTATAAATATCATTGTATGCATATTTTTGTTTAGTTTCCCACTAAAAGGACATCACCCAAAGGCAACAAATGGAAACGGATCATCCGGTAGTATAATCGAAAATCCCGTAGAGCTAAGGTATGAGTTTTGCAGTAATTCATTTACGAAAATTTCGATTAATATTTATTTTATTTTGTTTAAGGCCTCCATTAGAAGAAATTCGAAGTTGGAGCAAATCATTTGATAGACTCTTAAAATGCCCAGGTAATAATTATTTTTTGTATATCGCACAATATTTTATAACGCATGAAGAGAATTATCATTTAATACTTAAAAACTATAAATGTGAATAAAAGACTGAAAAAGTTAGTTTTTTGCATTAAAAAAACCTTAATTCTCTAAAATATTTAGATTTCTGTGTTTTTATTACCTAAAATTAAAAAAAACTAATAAATCGTTATTCAATGACTGTTGCTATAATTTCTTTCTCTCGCTTTCATTCTTAATATATATATATATATATATAATTTTGTTTATTTTATGTCAATACATAATCCTTGTTTGGTGGCTTAAAATTAACACTATGATTGATCATAAAAAATATTTCAATTACAGATAATTATGTGATACTTGAAATGTTCGTAAAAATTAATATATTATTTTATTGCGATATATAAATTATACACATTTTTCTTAAAATTTTTACTGTCATGATAAATGGGTTTTTGTTTGTAGCGGGCAAAAAAATTTTCCGAGATTTCTTGCGATGTGAATATAGCGAAGAAAACATACTGTTTTGGATGGCTGTGGAGGAGCTTAAAAAAGAATCTAATCCAGACGTAATCGAGGAAAAAGCTCGGTTTATCTACGAAGATTACATTTCGATTTTATCTCCCAAAGAGGTAAGTCTTATTTTGAATTTCCAATCAACTGTTATATTGGTGATAACACGGCTTATACGTGTAATATATTTATTATAATATGGTTACTCTTAAGAAATAAATATACTTTAAATTCAAGAAGCCTTTAGCCACTAATATAAACTCTTTACCGTACATAGAGTGATGTTTGCATTATTTTTATATAAAAATATTTTTTTATAATTCCACGTCTATAGGTCAGTCTAGACTCTCGTGTTCGTGACATAGTTAACAAGAATATCAATCAACCAACGGCTCATATGTTCGATGAAGCTCAGCTACAAATTTACACGCTTATGCACAGAGATTCTTATCCTAGATTTATAAATTCAACGCAGTACAAAAAATTAGCCAAAACTGAAAATGGAGCTACTGGTAACGCTCTAAATAGTGGCCAGCAAACCCCAACCAAACGAAAACAGAGCAATATACAATAAATGGTCACATTTATTTCAGGTAAATATGTAACTCATGTTCAATAAACTAATCAATCAAGTAAGCAGTGTAAATTTTGTTCAAACTAACTCAGAAAATAATTTTTGATAATAGTTGTGACTTGATTTTTAATTAAAATGTTTTTAATAGGATTGGGTTTTTTTCTTAATTATTCACGATTAAATTGGTATTTGATTTTTTTAAAGGTTAGGTTCATAGCAAAAAATTGTACATTTTCTCAATTTTTTGGAATAATAAAAAAATGTCATGATTTTCTATAAACTTCTATATTTAATCAATGAAATTATTGTATCAAAAACTTCAAATAATAATAAATATAACTTTAAATAATTACTACTTAACAATATAGATGCTATATTTTAAATCTTCCGTCTTATCCTAAGTTTTAACATACCAAGGTTTTATATTATTCAAAGAGTTCAGTAGAAAATAAATAAATCTTTCAACATTTACATATTTATTGTTGAACATAATGATAAAAACTGTTAGTGCTGCTCTATTATTAAAAGGTCTTATATTGGTGTTTAAATTGTATTGAAATGTTTATTAGGACAATAAACGCGGAATCTCATCCTTTTGTGAAAAGTTTATAAATCTGTTTCATGAACGACAGTGGTTTTGTGCAAGGTCATCCAGATTAGGTGTAAGCGAAAATCTTGACGGGTTGGCTATTAATTAATTGTTTGGCCAAATCGAGACCAAGGTCCTTTAGCAGTCTTCTTTTCCAAATACACATGGCATCTAAAGATAAGTTAAGCGATTCACGAAAATGATAAAAAATATCGTGTTTAAGACTTTGTAAACTTTAAATAAACATATAAATCAAGTAATAATAAATCAGTCGCTGCATTGTGTATAAAAAATAAACGTAAAAATGATGTACATAAATATTGTACGTACTGTTAAAATTTGAAATTAATCGAAAGATGTTTTGCAGCGATTATTTTTTGTCTTGGGTGTTCAAGCCTGCGTTTGGACCCATGTATTTGGGACCAGAATTGATATGATTTTCGTAGATTTACATTATTATACATGGTAGTATAAGAAAAAATATTTGTATTTAAAAATCGCGATGTAAAAAATAAATTATATACTATGTACTAAGTTTTAAATAAAAAGTAAAAATGTTTTATACTTAATTATTATTGTGATTCTTATTTTGATTTTATTTATAATCGTCTTTTTTGTTTTTACATTTAATAAATCGTAGTGATTATAAAAATTGTATTTTCACTCGTTTGCGTTTGAGTCTCATAAGATTTCCTTCGTGAAAGATTTTGAATAATTTTTATGTATACATTCGTACATTACATTGTATTTAACACAATTTTATTTCTTAAAATATGCAATATACTGATAAAAATGTAAATAAAAAAACAATAATAATGATATTATTAATATTAATATTATTATTTTTATTATTATCATAAATATATAATGTAACGATTAAGTATCTATCATTTAATGATGGGATTGTGTTACCAATCTAAATTAAAATGCCATCTTGTGTAAAGATGAAGTTAGTATGCATAAAACTTTAATGTAGGCCCTTATCAGAAAATGTTAGTTAGAATTGACTCTAGTATTGTTACCTTATGGTGTTTAATTGTTTTAAAAAAATTACACACACACACACACATATATATATATATATATATATTTGTTTTTTTCTTGTTAAATTTTAACTAATATTTAACTTCTGTAGTTGATCAAATTTATATATTATTTGTTACGTAATTATTTCTAGTCTAACCAAAAGACTGTTATTTTTTATTTATAAATATAATATATTGTGACCTACCTCTTGTCATTATGTTACTGGTGTATTTTGTACTTGTTTTTACTTTTTTTTACGGTATGTCTTAAAAGTAGCATTTATTGTGCCAATTGATTTTACAAATTAAGTTTTTTGAATTGTAAACAAAATCAAATTGTACGGTTTTACCAATGACGTATATTGCAAAGTGAAGCATAATTAAAAAATATATGCATACGAAAAAGAGAGGAGCACTGGTACAAATAGTATCAACACAATAGTAGATTTAATGATTTAATAGATTATCATTTTAATGGTAATAAATATTTAGATTAAAAATTGTTAAATAAACACAACAGGGTATCAAATATTTTTTCTTCATTCACAATTTTTTACATACTATGATGTACAATACAACACTAAAATAATTAAAAACAAAGCATGACACTATAAAGGTGTAAAATATATAATATATTTTATCATGAAATCGTTAACTTAGACAAAATTAAATCGTAAAGTAAAAAAAAGTTAAAGCTATAGTTCAAATTTTAAATATTTCTGTATTGATCTTTTTTGATAAATTTCACCGTTCTGTATCTTATGCGCAATAAATTGTCATTGGAAAACTTTCATTATTATTTGTATTTTTTCAAAAAAAAAAGTTTCTGATATTCAAACACCTCGATATTAGATAGATTAAGCACAACAACATAATAATAATGATATTAATGTTAGTAGTAATAATAATAATATTAATATTAATAATAATAATAATGGTAATATTAAATAATAATTAATATTGATAATTATTATAATAATGTAAATAGTTCGTATATTTCTTGATTCTTATTGTAGATTAAAAATTATTAAATTTGGTCAGAGCAAACTTTCGATTGTACGTATGAGCCTGACATGAAGCACATTTAATACTTTGGTTTCAATTTTGTAATATATATTTACGTATAAGAATATATATTATGCCCAAATTGTTTCGTATTTAGATCACGGTAATAGTAATAAAATACATTGTTGTAGGATAACAAATTATTATTGAACTTTTCATGTAAATGTTGAAACAATAATTATTGTATTTATCATTACAATGATGTTCATACTCGTAAAGTTTATTATAATTTTTAACATTACTTTAGAATGTAAAAATAAAACTGTAATTATAATTACACATTATTATTAATGATAAAAGGAAACAACCTATTACGACTTGTGAATTTTTTTTAACATTTTTTTTATAGACTACAACAGGAGTTAATCTTAATTGAAATGACTGCTTTTATTCCAAAATAAGATAAATAAAATACGAAAGTTGTATGTGTAATGATTGAATGTATTATTCTTCATTTTTATGTTAGACAAATACAAAATAAATATAACATGATTAAATACGATAAAACAACTACTTTTTTATTTTCCTTAATCAGAAATGTTACATACAAATAATTTTATAACTAGTTCCTACCTTTTTTTTTTTTTATTCATACATTAAATAAATAACACAACTCGGGAACACTTAAAATTAATTTTACTAATGACTTGACTTATGAATGAGTTTGTTTTGTTCTTTTCTTTTCTTTTCTTGTTCAATGAAATCAGTAAATTTAACATAGTATTCTCCGGTGGGATCCCATTTATCACGAAGTTGTTTCCATTCCTTCTGGTAGTCCTTTTCAAGTCGTGTAACTACTTTTAAAGCAATTTCTTTATGTTTTTCGCTACATCTGACACATAGATTTTTTAATGCGTCTGGTAAAATATCTGTAAATAAAAATTATTTTTTGATGAGTTAATATATTGTGTATAAAAAAAAAAAATTAAATATAACTATAAAATCTATTTCAAGACGACTGGTTTAAAACTATGTTTATCAATAAAAACTTTTCATTAAAAAATATAAGAGTATGATTATACTAACCAAAATAGTTGAATCAAGATAAATTTCAATAGACAAACCTTTAAAAAATAGTTTCTCTTTATACATTTTTCAAACTTACTTTTTAGTTCTTGTCCTTCTACTGTACATGGACGGTTGGGTATATCCAACAAACATTGGACGTAACTGTTGACTAATCTCTTAGAGCCAAATATTTGATCAATGTTAATGTTGTCATACTTGGTAGTGTATGTTCCCTGAGATGCGGGCTTAGAGGGTTCTTGAGCAGAATCAATGGATTTTGGAGCCGTGGCGGGCTTATTAGATTCGATCACCTTTTGAGGCAATGCAGAAACACTGAGAACGGCTAAAACGGCCCCGAAAACAACAAATAAAGAGGTACGCGAGTCCATTGTATATGATGTTAACGATTGTTTACTGTTCGCCCGTTTGCTGATCAAAGCCTTTATATACTTGGTGGTAGATTCAAGATATTGTATTATTGCGCATATAAAGTAGTTAAACGTATTACAAGTTTGTTTACAAAGAGAATAAAATTCTTGTAATAACGCGCAAATACAGGAGTGGTGGACAAAACGGCCTTCGAAAGTTTAGCGTCATCACATGCAATTCCGATTTATTTCCCTGCAATACAACCGCGAGATCAACGGTTACCTATAGGTAATTGATGAAGATCAATTATACTCTCATGACGTATCATATGAAATGTTCAAAAATCTTATGACTGATTGACGATCTTAATACGCGTAAAACTAATTTGCAACATTCTAACTGGCTCATATAAAATTGGAGAGTAGCACACTTTTTATAATTTTTGTTGATAAAAAATTCAAAGTTGATATTTGTATATTAACCATTTTAGTAGTTGGCCTATTTGAAAATAAATATAATTCTGTTCATTAATGGTTTGATATGGTAATATAATAACAGTAGGTACGATTAGTGTATCTCTGTATGTATTTTCAATAATCAAGTAAATTGACTTTTATTTAAAAAAATGAATTCACTTGGAATGATAATAACACAATTATATGCCAAGATAGATTTAATGATTTCCGTATCTGTGTTTGATGGTAATATTAAGGAAAAATACCTTAGGAAGTATTGATACTGACAATTTTACTGAGAGAAGGAGTAGAAATAAATTTATAAAAGATGGAATTAAACTCTAATTATTAGAGTCTAATGTTAATCGATAAAAAAGTTAATTATTAAAGGTAACTATAATAATATAAGTAGCAATAATATAATATAGTACTATTTATATATACATATAAAATGTACATAGGTTCATTGGAAAATTTGAATATTTTTTAAATTTAATAATATGAAAAATGAATTATGGAAGTATATCAATTTATAGTTATACGTATTGTGTATCGCATAAGTTGGAAATAAATTTAATGCATTAATGCAGTTTGATTTCTACTTTTATATTTATAAAAAAAAATTAGTTAAGTCATAAATATTATATAAAAATTGCCGTAATATATTAAGATTCTGTTTTCACTTTTTCCTCTGATGTGTTGTTATATTTCATAATAACCTGTATGTGTTTTATTTTTTAATAATTAAGACTAATGAAGATAAGAAAATTTAAATTGCATCATTATTTTGAATTACATAAAATAGATTACTGATGTTTCTATCAAAATGATTTTGATACTTTAATGGTAATGGTTCGTAACTGCAATTTTTATTTGGTATGGAAAATCATGTACAGCTAATTTTTTTAATAAGCATTATTGTGATGAAATGTTTATTTTTCCTCCAATCATATATTGTAAATATAGATTTTTTTATTATTATTATTATTTTCTTAAGATAAGACAATAAATATATTTTTCAAGTTAAATGGCATAAATTGAATGTATATATAATAATAATAATAATAATCTACTTTTTTCCTCCTAAATATGTCAAAAATGTAGTTATAACACATTGTTACTGAAGTATCGATACTATAATATAAATGCAAGATAATAGTGATTATAACGAATGAGCTTATCTTATAAATTTTGTTTTTAATAGTAATTTTATAATATCTTGACCACATATAAATCTAAAAAATACCATTTTCCAAGTTCTCATAAAAATTCCTATTTAATGACGACCATTTGCAAGTTGAGCCAAAAATAATTTCAGTAAAATGTTCAACTTTTTTTCGTAAAAATCAACTTTAAAAGACTAGAGACTGGATTTATATGTGTTTATAAATTATGTTATGTCAAAACATTATCAGCCAGTACAAATTTGTATAAATAGTTTTGAATAATTAGTAATGTAATTTAACTGTGGTTGTAATGTTGCAGTTGATTAAGGGGTTTATTCGCTCCTAAAACGAAAAATATTTCTACGCTATTATATATCCAACAGGAAATTCGTACAAAATTGGATCCCTTTTAAAATGAGTTAAAATAATTATAAATGCATTTATACATTTTTACAGACAGTGAAATTAAACAAAAACACGTTAAACAAAACATCTCTATGTTTTGTTTTCTATTTTCCTTGTAAAAACAAAAAAACGGTAATACAATTTGAATCAATTATATTTTTTATAAATATAAAATTTTAAATTTAATTTAAATCTGTACTATTTGTGTGTGTAAAATTAAAAAATTCAATCTTTTCTGAAATAATTTTTTTATTTTAATAATAATTATTATTTACAATTAATTATTTTGAAAATATAGAAATCTTTTATTAAAATTCTCAGTTATTTAGTGATTGGCATAAATTTGAGTCAAATGTAACGTGTTATGTAATGATAAGGTACGCGAGTCAAAAATATGTTATCATCCTAAAATTTGGTCTATTCAAATCCACATATTGAACGATACAATAATGAAATTCCTATCAAGTCCATATTATTCTAATAATTTTTATGATGGCTTTGAAAGCAAAATATGAAAACATTTTTATATTAAGAGCTAAGATCGTAGCTGGAAACAGTTTTCTGAGAGGGTTAAACCAATCATAGATGTAGAGTGGTCGTATTTTAATTTTAATAATTTTAAATAAAAAAATATTTTTTAAGTCTAATTCTTTTCCTTCAAAGGATAATTTCTATAAAACAATGTATATAAGTATATTTAAATATAAGAATATCTTTAAATATTAAATAGATTTTTAATATTATTATCGTCTTGTTTTTCATCCTCGCCTTAATCTCAACTACTTGGGGTCGACTACCCTTATCCTAAACTTCCACTTGACACGATCTCCCACATCATCGACGCTCATCATTAACTCAATTAGTATCTCGCTTATAATAAACTGATATATACATATATATATATATATGCTTATAAATTACACATTGAATAAATTTCAGCACTACAGTAATGATTGAATGTATTATTCTTCATTTTTATGTTAGACAAATACAAAATAAATATAACATGATTAAATACGATAAAACAACCACTTTTTTATTTTCCTTAATCATAAATGTTACATAAAAATAATTTTATAACTAGTTCCTACCTTTTTATTTTTATATTCATACATTAAATAAATAACACAACTCGGGAACACTTAAAATTAATTTTACTAATGACTTGACTTATGAATGAGTTTGTTTTGTTCTTTTCTTTTCTTTTCTTGTTCAATGAAATCAGTAAATTTAACATAGTATTTCTTCTAATAAAATTCGTGACTGCATGAAACAATTATGTAAATTTAATTTTTCAACAATAAAAATATTTCGTTTTGGGGGTGAACCCTCAAAACCCCCCTCGAATTCGGTTTTGAGATATTGTAGCACACGACACTCACAAAATTTAACTAATCAATTTAAACCTCTGTTTCAATAATTTAAGCTGCTCTAATAAATTAGACCTTGATAATCATAACATTAGTCTATGTATGTTGTAAATCATCCAAATTTTTTTAAGAAAATTCGTTTTCCTAGAACTTTTTAGTTTTTATATCTTGTAACTATTAAGTAACAAGATACCTATAAAGCACTTACAGATTATTCATATAATATTAATACTTGAATTAATAAAATGTAAATTTGAAAATGAAATGAGATTATTAAGATTATGTACATCTTTTTTCTGATACTAATTAATTTTTACGATTCTATGAAATAAAAAACTTAATTAATTTTTTAATATTATAGCTTATTTATATGAAGCTCAATCACAATTTTCAAGGTTCAATGTTACAATAACCCAAAAATGTATTAACTTTGAATAAAAGTCGTAAAGCTAATGTACTGGTTTTATTAAGATATTTCTAAGCTTGTAAATTAAAAAAATGTATCTAATAATATGGCCTATATGACTAAAACAATTCTGCTTGTTATAAAATAATTAAACATTATTTTTTTTAAATGATTGAACATTGACGTAAATAAATCGTTTAAAATTGCAAGTTATTTCATCTTAAACTATGTTGAATAATTGTTTTTGTAGCTAAGTAGTAGTCGTTCATAGTGTAAAATCTCCTATCTGTAAAATCTAATTTTTCAGGAGAATACAAATATTATTTAAATACAAACCATTCTCAGGCCCGCAATAACTAGGTGATCAATGAGTTCTCAGAACATGAATGGCAATTCGATGTATATGAGCAAAAAAAGAAGTGATTAACAATCTGAAATCCGCCAATTAAATAATTATAGATATAGTCAATTTACTTTTGGACATTTTGAAAAAGATCGATCTAATAGGTCTGTGTGGCACTTATTATTATACAATTTTAAGTTTAATAGAACTTTTATTTTTATTTATGTTAAGAAGTCTAATAACTATTAACTAATTAAAGATATTATAAAAGATATTTTGTTCTACATCCAGAAAATTACAGTACTCCATCAAAAATAGTTTAATATATTATTACATAAATAACAAATAAAAATTAAAAATATTTTTACTAAACCACTTTTCTTATTTTATAATAAGAAATGTCATCTTAGATATTATGTAATATTAAAGTTTTAATAACAATAGTTATAGTTGTTGTAAACAGTCATATTTATTTTATAAAAAAATATGAGTTGTTGTGGTTGAAAATAATATTAAGCATAATTTATGATTAAAAAACAATAGATTTCACCTTATTTTACCTATAAAAAATACTGAAATCCAATTTTGTTTTGTAATTTGGAATTCTATAATTAACTAAAAAATAGTAGACATTGTTTGTTATGATTGTAATGATTTAAATTGTTTTTTCCTTATTAATTTTCATCATTAAATAGTTTAGTTTCTAAGTTATCTAACATATAATTTTAAAAATGATGTTGATCCGGTTTTTTTTTTACTTCCTGTTTATTTAACTAACAATAAATAATTACAAATATTCTGACAATAAACAATCATGTTTAAGCCGATTCAAATAGAAGATAAATGTTTAAAATCCATTCTAAATTTCTATATGAAATGTCATTGTATAAAAATTTCTAAATTTTGACTATTATAGATTTTATTTTTCTTATTAAACTATTATGATGTTCTACTACATTATGACTTTAAATGTTTACATTTTTACTATACTTTTAACAATGGTTGTATGCAAGGTAAAAATTTAAAGGGCTCCTTAATCAACAGATAATAAAAATATTATTATTGCAGAAACCGTTATTGCAAATGCTTCCACCTATACGTCATGAGCTACGCATTAAGAGTTTAGAATTAACATTCAATAAAACATTTGGAAAAACTTTTATTGCTGAATTTAAGCAGTTCTACGATGTTCAATTGCTTAACTTTAACGTAACAATTTATAGAAAAACCAGTCCAGAACGCGTAAGTTACATGAATAATATTTTCTATTATAATGACTGTGATTTTAAAAATAATGATATTTTCCTTTTTACAAAACTGTAATTGTATACAGTTTTGTATGGCTGACTCTAAGTAGTTGGGAATAAAACGAGGAAAAAGAAGACAAAGTTATATTTGTATATATTTTATATATTAACTTAATAGCTACGATCAAATCTCGTGATAAATGATAAAAATCATAAAAAGGCGTTTTAGAAAAAAATCACTTCACGATTTTTATGTTTATAACGATTTTAATAAACTAATCATAAAATAATCTTTTTATGTTTAAATCCTCTTAAAAATCGTACCATAAACCTGTTTTAAACAAAATTTTTGCTTAATTAAAGATCCTTGTCAATTTTTTTAAGTTCTTAACTTAAGTTTTATTTGTCAACTTACTAATTTGCTATTGAAAATGTTTTGATTCTAAATTCTATGAGAGTCACTTATAACATAGGCTATTAAAAGATTAATGCGTTTTTAACAGAAACAAAATTTTTAATTATTTGTAGTTTTTCATAAAAACAATTATACTATTTTTGATTCTACATCTATTTAGTTTAAAATCGTATTAAATACGAAATTAAAAGTGTTTGAAAAATTAGAGAAATAAATTTTGATTTTAATAACGTTATTTAATCAATATATAGATATATTAATTATCTTTGTTATGAAATTTTACTTATATCCTCGTCCGTTAAGTTGCCTAAGTTTAACGCCTTAAAACATACAGCATATAATATATTAATATATTAGTATTGCAAGAATAATTAATTTTATGTTTTTTTTTAACCAGTTAGATTAATTATTGAATTATAGTCCAATTAAGTATAGTCGACTTCCAAAGAATCTTTAAATTTTTCATCGAACTCGTTATTATTTTTATTTAATTGTTATCAAACAATTCAGTTACCAAAAAGAAACATGACAATCTGTCCCGTTATTTCTTTCGGCCTCAATCATATTATGTAATGCTTAACATTTAATTTATATACTACAATTAAATTATTTAATTATAAGTGCAAATATAAATATATGGTTTTTCATGTGTTACATACTATATTTTTAATAACTTGTTTAATTTTTTCAAAATAAATTCTTATTGTTAACGTTAAAGTGGAAAATTGTTCACAGTATTTAATTCTTATCAATGTATGCAAGTCTTAGTTTTTTTATTTACGTAGATATGAAAATGATTTCTAAAAAGTATAACGTTCAAATAAAGATTAATAAATATAGTAAAGCATCGCTTAAACCTTTCTAGTAAATATAAGTAGAACGGCTTCGCTCGACCAAGCCATGATCCTGACTAATGTTTAAAACTATTACTGTAATTTTTATTATTATAAAATTTTACATAATTAAAATAATTATGATATTTATTTTAATGAATAAAATTTATGATTGTAATTAATTCCTTCACTGTCATACAATTAATCAATAAATAACCTTATCATAATTACCCAGTGGAATTTTTATATAATATGTGTCGGGGTATAGAGTTAGTTAGGATAGAGGTGAAAATATTTAGGTTACAAAAATAACGATTATACTTTAAGTAAGTAAAGTAGTAAAAATCTCTTTCATATACTACGTAAGAGAGATTTTGGTAGGTGGAGAATATATTATATTCTCTATCCAACACAATATTAAGAAAAATATTTTAAGGCTATTGATGATTTCTCCCGCCTTAAAAAATATTTTTATAAAACATTATGTATAATTTTTCAAATTTTTGGTGATGAAAAACCTATTTTTTTTACTCAAGGAAAAATCATATGCACACTTAAAAAATATATATAAAAATACCAAGTTTAATTCATTTCCGCCTATGCTAGTAAATATATACCCAAATAATTGATTTTTTTTGTTTTATTACATTTTGTTTATAATTGAATCAAGAAGTGTATATTTACTATAATTTGTCTCACTTGTGTATTACAAGTTTTACACAATGTTTGATTTAACTAAAATTATTTTACCTTGGATAACCATTCGCAAGTTATAGTAACTTTTTGGGCTTTTTTATTCTATAATGGAATAATTATTATTTTAGATTAACGTAGAAATAATCAAATGCAAGGAAAATTTTATCGACTGCTCTAATCTAAGAACTTGTGACTATTATCACGTTTGCGATACAATAAAAACATTATTGTTTTTTGGAGTTATTGGTTATAAAAATCGTGATATAAAATGCCCATTTGAAGTAAATATCTAAAATTAACTAAAAGTTATTTATCCATAATTTAAACACTTAAATATTTATGATTTTAGGGTGAATACATTGTATTAAACTCAACATTCAACCCTAACCAAGCATTTTCAATGTTATTAGCTCCTACTGAAAAATGGTGGGAAAATTCCTACAAAATAAATGTAAATGTTTATGATTCATCTGATGTATTTATAATGAAACTTTATGGAACGGGATACTTCTTGACTTTTAGAAATAAAAAGTTATGATATATAACATATATTATATGCGCAATTTTGTAAAAAAATAAAATAAAATAAATAAATTGAATGACTTTTGATGTATAATTGAACATATTTAATATATTTATAGTTTTTAATAAAAATAAGACAAAATAAAACGATTAACTTCTAAGAAATTTCTAATTTAACGTACTCCATTAAATTCAATGGGGTAGTATGTATAGTCTTGTGGTAGGGAACATGTCATATCTCAGTGAGTAGGTTGTGTGTTCAATTTCATTCCACTGAGCTATTTATATTTTACCAAACACTCTATCGCGAATATGAAGTACTTTAAAAAAGAAAGCGTTAAATATTTATTAAAAAAAAAAAATCGGTAGCACAGTGTGGACGAGGTATAGATGGGGCAAGTATAATTGATATCTGACAGTGATTAAAATTACTATCATAGAAAGAATTCGATGCAAATCTGTAGATAGTGTTTAATTCTAAGAAATTGATGGATAATTACAAAAGCACATCAACTCCTATTTCCTTAATTATATCCTGATTAGTGGTTCTTAGATTTAAAAATATAATATGTGAATAAATACTAATTATAGTAATTAAATTTAGTATGACATTAATATTCAATAATTTAATATTGTAATTTATACGGATAAATTATAAAAAATAATAAAGTAGTTATATATTTCTTTACTTTTAATGATTATAAAAATTTAAAGGGCTTGATGCAATACTTTTCAATAAAAAATTTTTATATCTTATGAATATACACTGAACTACAAGGAACTTTCATCAGAAACAAAAATATAATATTCTAAATCAACTTTTCGCGTTGTTTTCAAATCTGCAACTAGACTTTAACTATCGCAAATTTTATAAGTATACCACAAATTGTATTGTTAAGACTAATATGCAGTCAGGAAATTTTATAATTACTATTTACAGTAAATTTATCAGAAAAGCTCAACATTTTTTTGAATTATTATCGTAATAGATTACTTAAATAGAAATAATTGTAATCATTTTCTAGTAACTTTTGGTATTAAAAAAGATTCTTCAATTGAAATATATAGAACTAAAATTAATTTTAATGATTTACTAAAAACACCAAACAAAAAGTTGTTAAAAAAAATCTACTCAATACAGCGTATTATAAAATTTGAACATGATTGTAAAAATCCAAAGTTAAATTCTAGTGAAACTAAAAATCTTTTTTTATAGAAATGATTTTTATAGCAATATATTACTAAAAAAAATGGAATATTATAGACTGATAGTAGCACATACAAATAGAGTAAAAAAAATATTTAATTAAAAAGTAAAATTATTTAATTTTTTAATTGAAACCTATTACCGTACCAAACTTAATTCGTCAATAAATACTTAGATAACATTATTAATGAATGATTTTAATTGTCTATATGGAGAACATGGGATCAGTAACTGTTTAATTAATAAATTAGAATTTTTTTTCAATTTTTGAAGGAAATATCTTCAACTTGATACGAATTATAATCATTTGATATATCGTTGAAAAAAGTAGATCAAATGAGAGCTGAAAAAATAAATGATAATTAGAAAAAAACCATACAGTAATATAATTTTAAAATGAATAAGAAATTTATTCTCGCGAGGGGAAACTACACTGATGGAGTTCTTGATATTCATTGAAGTTATTGAATCTAAATGAGATAAAATTCATAGACACAGACGGGTTTGAGCCTTGTACCCCACACGCGTAAGACATAAGTGTTACCGATTCGACTTCCGTACGTTGCTTTCGTCAGCCAAAAAAAATGGCAATTTAAGCTAGTTCAAAATTATTTTTCTCAACTTAAAAAAAAAACAAAAAAATTTAAATAAGTTTAACTTTCCATGCTATGTCGATTAGATTTATATAATATTTATGAAAATCTGTGTACTCCCCTTGTAAGGTATTTTAAAATAAAATAAAATACAAAACCAAGAATTTTAACACAAAAATTTTTATCATGAAGACAAGTCCAGACATTAAATTTTTTTTTCAAATTAAAGTTGGGTTTTATTACATAAGCTATAATATAAGATATATATAAAAGTGTCTGTATTTCCGGAACACTTTCAAAAGTTAAGTTGAAAAAGATTATTTTTTGTGAAAAAGTTGTCATTTTGAAACCCTCCCTTTGGACAGGTAAAGAGTCAAATGTTCACAAAAATTTATCAAATGATAGGTAAATATCTAAGGTATCTAAAAAAAAAAAATTTATTGATTGGTCATTTTTAAAAAACCAAGCACAGGGGGGTCGTGGCATAGTGGTGACGTGGCATAGTTGGATCAAGTATAATGATATCTGACAGTGATTAAAATCACTATCAAAAAAAAAGCTTCGATGCAAATCTTTAGATAGTGTTTAATTTTAAAAAATTGGTGGATTATTCCAAAAGCTACATGATCTGCTACTTTCTTATTAATAACATAAATGAAAAAGGGATTATTAAAAAATATTATTTTTTATAAAAAAATTGTGTTGATCTATACACTTTTCAATAAGTTATAGCATTATGAAGTTAAAAATGTAAAAAATAAAATTGAGAATTTTTACACAAAAATTGCATTCGGTAGCCATTTTCTCCATGAAAATAAAATAAAGTCCAAAATTTTTTTTTTGCATAATAAAGTAAATTACATTAGCTTTAATTTAATATATATAGAAAAGTGTCAGACTTTCCGGAACACTTTCAAAATTTAAGTTGAAAAAGTCAATTTTTTGTGAAAAAGTTGTCATTTTAAATCCCCTCCTGTGGCCAGATAAAAGGTTAAATTTATGAAAAAAATATACCAAATGAAAGGTAATGATATTATGCATCTATACAAAAAAGAATTATATTGATATGTTCATTTTTAAAAAAGTTATGGCAGTTTTTAAACAAAAAAATTTCAAAAATTTCAAAAATTAGCGATTTTTAAATTTGTATTTTTTTTGGAGGTTTCTTCCATTTACGGGGAACGAGGGAAATTTTTTCAAAGAAGAATTTTAAAAAACGCATCATAGTAATTAATACCTTCTCAGTTTCACAGGTAAAAAACACAATATTATTGTATTGCACACAACACTATTAAAAAATTACTCGTTACAGACGAAAATCAACGCAAATCAGTTGCGATGATGGTTAATTTCCGACAACTTGGGTATTCTACCGGTCAAACCTGTTGGATATGCAGTACGAGAGAGCGTTTCGCTACATCTGTTTTTGTATGACTGATAACGTTTCTCGCACTACCACCACCGGTTTTGCGAAAGACTCAGTACACTGTATCATTATGTACGCGATCGATGTAGAAATCTTTTGAGTCGCAGTGTATGTGTGGTGTTACCATTTTGGCCCTTGCCAAAGTGTTCTAGATGCCTTTTCATGCATAACAGTTATTTTTATATAGACAATCGCCCTAGTGATTCGCGTATACCTTAGTACACAAGTATAGTAAATTCGTCTTGCGATTCGCCTGTACCCATGTACATCGCCATATCATCGCTTTGCAATTAACCACATCCCATTGATGTTATGAATTGTATTCACCATTTGATGACAAAGTTATTCATTCACGATCAGTTCATTGGTGTAATTAGTTCATTTTCAGACTACAATAATTGATAAGTAGTTAATTATTTGTCATTATCTTATTACTTTTACATATATTACTAATTATTTGTCTTTGCGCCAGTGTAGCATTAGTGTTAAGTGTTCCCACTACCCCGCTAACTAGATTCCCATGTTACGCAATTCTGTGAACACCAACACGCTGTAATTGAAGCTTCGGTTGACCAAGACATGGTCGAAGATTCGTGTGTATTGATTCTACAGTTACCGATGTAATGGAGACGCTTATTTTTAAAATAAATTCAGTATTAACGCCAACTACTTCCACGAATAGTATGCTCAGTTTTATAACGCCTCAATCACAATATAACACTTATCTACCGAATGTTGATTTACCTAAATTGATGGTAATCCCGAGAAATGGCGTTCGATGTTATTCGTTTGTTTCTGCCAGAAATATTAATCAAATCGACTGATTTCATTTATTATTATCATGTTTATCTGGTCTGGCGTTAAACACAATAAAATTCTAACCACTCTCTGTTAAGAATTCAGAGAGATTTGATTGGATTATTAAAGACATGTGGGCTGCTCTCTAAAAAAGTGGACAATTCGCTTCAAGTACTTCGGCAAGTAAATTGTGCTGATTGCTCAACACTGTTATCTTTAGACTCAAAGAATACTGATACAAATACTGTAAAAGTGTTAGGTATACATTGGGATCCTACATAGGATATGTTCGTCTATCATACTAACATTCAACCCGATCATCTTTATATGAAACGCAAGGTACTTTCTAGAATTCCAGACTTTTCGATCCTATAGGTACGCTCGGACCCACACTCTTATAGGCAAAATCATTCATGCAAAAGTTATTGCAATTATTGGGACAGTCATCTACCAGAGGAGTTAAACACGTCATAGAATTAGTTCATAACAGAATTGGTATCCAATTTGCGGGTAGTAGCATCTCCGGTCATGCTACTATAAATTTTGTCATATGTAAGACCAAGGTAGCGCCAATCAAATCAGTAAATGTCAAATTACGGTGCCGCGCCTTAAATTATGAACTGCTTTATTACTCGTTTAACGTAAAAAAACTGTTTAGACATTGATATTTCAAGGTTTATGTGTGGACCGTATCGTCTTATTATCATATTTAACCGTTAGCCAAAAATCCTTTTAAGTGTTCGTAACAAACAGAATTGCTAAAATACGGCAATTAATATCGAAATGCAAATGGTTTTATATCAACACGGTCAACAATCCCGTGGACCCGGCATCGCGCGGTCTACTACTATATAATACCTTATTATGTTACATTCATAGAGAAGGACCAGCATTTTTACGATTACCTGCCGAACAATGGCCGCAGCATAATTATGATCTATTGAAGCCTGACCAACTGCCTGATTATTAACAAAAGACAGTAGTTCTCACGATCATTGAAAAAGAAACCGTCGCCGATCAAATTTTACACAGCTTATCTATATTACAAAAAATGCAACGATCGCTGGCTTACATTTATCGCTTGAGTTTTAAGGCCCGCTTTCAACCTATTCCCACAGGGACACTGACTTATTTTTAATTAAATGCCATGTCACATAAAGCTGCTTTACTGACACAACAAGAACATTTCAAAAATTAAAAAAAACAGTTGCTTAATCAGAATTATGTGACACCAAGCTCTCTCGCTCAACTAGCGTCGTTTATTGACGTGACTGGATAATTCGTGTTAGGTCCAGATACAAAACATCCAATACTGTTACCTAAAATTTTGCATCTTACACGTTTAATAATTCAACACTATCACCATAGAAGATAGTTTTG